AGAGCATCGCTGCTGGCAAACCCCCCGAGGCCACTAACGGGGCCCTGGAGCGCGCGCCCGCCGCAGGGCTCTATGTAAGTGCTGGTGGGACGGGCTGGGGGGTGTCCTGGCCCTGCTCTGAGCTTGGGGAACTTCTGGGGGATGGGTCCAGTCTGAGCTAGAGGGGGAAAAAGATCACACCAGCCAGGGTTATCTGTTCCTGGTTTGCAATATTGCTCTTCTGGGCTTCCCCAAGGCGGCTGTGCGGCTTTTCCAAACTGCCGGGCGGTGCTGCGATGCTCTGTGTCAGGGTGTGCTTTGGTACAGCACAGTGGGACCCCCCATGTGCTCCTGGCAGCCCCCCAAGCACAGGCACCCGTCTAATGGGGTGGAGGAGGGGTGGGTTCTTCTCTTCCCCATCTCCCTCTGCTGCCAAAGCCATGCTGAGCCCCCAGGGGAGGTGAATTTTCCATTAGCAGCGATGCCAACTTTGGGTTCTCGGCAGCTCTGGAGGGTGGGTATGGCGTGGCCCCAGGTAAGCGTGTGTCAGCGGGGTGCTCGGCATCGGGATGGGTTCTGCTGCAGCCCGCGAGCGTTCCCAGCCCGGCTGCTGGAGCAGCGCCAGCGGAGCAGTGGCTGGAGACAGGAGGGGGTGGCTCAGACTGGTTGATGCAAAGCTGTGAACGTGGAGATGGTGCTCCCGGGGCTGTGATCGCGCTGGGGGGCTTTGGACAGACCAGGCATATCTCTGGGTATAAAAATGCATTTCCACAGGGAAATGATTGAGGCTCCCTAGCATCCGGTTAGATTTATGTTCTCCCAGCGCTGTCTGGAGCGGCTGTTGCTGAACAAATGCTCACCTTAAAACACGAGGAAGGTATTCCCTGCTGGCCCTTGTGAGGGTGGCTTGCAGCAGAGGATTTAAAGTTGGGGGAAAATTGGTGTCCGAGTGTTTAAGGCAAGATTTTTCTAGCCATTGCTGCACTGAGACTGTAGTGTTTCAGAGCAGTTTTTGTTTTCATCCCATGTTGGGTAACATCCCCCCTCTGCTGTGGCCTTTCCTATTGACAGACATCTGACTCTGGGTCCAGTGATGGAGTAAAAGGTTTTCACTATTGCAACAAAATACTGAATCGGACAAAGAATTTTAAGCTAAAAAAAATAGCCAAAAAAGGAAGGTTTCCATTAAACTCATAAATAAAAGTCATCTTAGTGGCGAGGGTTTATTTAGACTGCGAGTTTGTCCTTCCAAATAAACGCACAACTGCGATGTTATTCTCTGTAGTTTAGAGCATCATTTTTCTCGAGACACGAGCTGAAAAATGGAACCGCTTCAAAAGCAGCTGCAGGAGATCCCCTTGGACCGGCGCTGAGCAGCTCGGCTCGCAGCAGGCTGCAAAGTGCTCTGGTCTCTTGCCATGCTGAAGACAGACCTCGCTTTTCCCCCTCTAACGCAACGCCGCCTGCTTGGATAGATCTCCCGTGCAGGGATTAGTGCCGCTGACCCGATGGGAACGGACTGTGTCCCGGGAGCTGAAAGGTGCTAAACTTGCAGAGGGTCTGTCGGCTTTCACCCAACTGCTCTGGAAGAGAGGTTCTGCCCTAGGAAAATGAGATCTAGCAATACGGGTGAGGCTGGAAGCGGGTGTGAGCAAAATGAGCCACGTGAAAGCTCTGGGGATGCTGCGGGGGATGCCTGAGTGCCAGCAGCCTGCCCAGGGCACGCTGTCCTCGGCCGGGAGCGTGTCTGTCCCAACCCTCAGCGACCTGCGGGATCGCAGCGATGAACAAAGTGTTCTGAGAAGATAAAGTGCCTTTGCTTCAGGGGCGTGGGGGAAATGCAGTGCTGGAGGGTTGTTGTGGAGATCCTGAACCTCAAGCAGGCTGTGTGATGTTTCCTCATTGAGCCCATTGGTAGGGCAGAGATTTGAGTCTGCGGGGTACCAGAGCTCTTCATCAGCACCAGCAGCTTGATTTCACCCGATTTCAGGTCAAGGGGTGAGTCTGAACTGCAGATTTGTGAAGGATGGATGTGGTGGGGGGAAAAAATTGATTTAACAAACCCCCCTACCCTCGCTCTAGAAGCGAATGAAGCGAGGAGGCAGGGATGCTGCCCCCAGAAGCAGGCTGGAATTCTTTCCCCGGCTGTTTGTGGTCCCGGTGCTCAGGCTGTTAAACCCCTCATTGCCCACCCAGGCCAGCTGTGCTGAAACCGGTGCATAAAGGAAACACACCGGGCCCACGTAAATCACCAGGAGAGAGGCAGCTGAGCTCCGATGGCTTTTTGAACCCATCCTGGCTGCAGCGAGGGGCCCCGTCCCTGCATTGTCTGTCCCACGAGCTGAGTGCTCTCCACCGAGCAGAAAATCATCCTTAGCCCTCCCGGCACAGGGAACTCTTACAAACCGCTGTGTTGGGATCAGATCAGCTCCTGCAGCTGCTGATCAAAATTAGCCATTGTCCCAAAAGCCCTGAGGCCAGCACTGCTCTGAGAGCTGGGGGAGCATCGCCGTGTCCGGGGAGCTCCTTCCCTGGGAGCTGTCACGGCAAAACTGCAGCCAGCAGAGAATGAGTTTGGAAAAGCTCAGGAGAAGGAGATGCTTTCTTGGCCATGGGTAACTCTGCTAATAAAGTCTTCACTCCTCTCCCTGCGCGATGGAGATGTAAAATGAGCACTGAACTGTAATCCCCATCTTAAATCTGAAGAGCCACTCTTTACTTAGTGCGTAAACGGCAGGGGAGAGAAGTTAGACGATGCTTAGGAAGAGCCCTGTGAATAATTGCCATAGAAAGGAGCAGCAAAATAAGCTGTTTGTATAACAGTTCTTCTTGGCAAGAAACTCGAGCTGGGAGTTGGAAGGCTGCTGGTGTTTGTTCTCGCTGTCAGATCCTGCAAGATAAGCAGGGCTGGGGCGGATGGGGCTGGCGGCTCCCCCCGGATGGCAGCGGAGGCAGCCGCGGCCTCGGGGTCTCCAGTGCCTGGAGTCTCCCAAATCTGGTGCCTTGGGGGGGTATCAGGGTCTGGGGGACACCATGGTCCTGAGTGCTCGGTGCAGAATTTATCGGCGCCTGTCTGCCCTTGCCAATGGCACCGAGCACCCAGCCTCGTGTGCTCATCCCCTTGTTCATAGAGCCCAGGAGCAGCCCAGTGCTGAGCCCCCTCCCCAGCTGGCATGGGTCTGAAGCCCATATCCCATCATGGTGTAAGCAGGCATATTCCTTTCCAGAGCCAGGAACCATCGTGTGTCTCCTCCTGCGCTGCCTTCCCTTGTCCTGGGGGATTTGCTGGTAGGATAGGAGATGCCTGGCAGCTTGGTGGAACTGCTCCAAGGGCTGCAGGGCAGTTACTGGGAATCCAGATGGAACGGAGGAAGAGGCAATAGCAAAAGGTGTGGCGGTCTGGAAATAACGGTAACAAAACAAAGAAAAGCTACTTGGTGGGTGTAGAAAGACCTGTAGCCTCCTTCTCTAAAGGGAGAAATGAGGTTAAGAGAATTCCCCAGATGCAAATGGTGGCATCAGGGTCTTGTTCCTTGGGACAGGGACTGCAGCTGCCCCACAGGAGCTCCCCATCCTCTGTCCATCCCTGGGGCTTCCTGCAGCTCAGGACTGCTGGTTCACCTTCTGCTGAGAAAATTTATTATTGTATCTCTTCTACCCACCTTTTAGAAACTTTTCATAGAATCCCAGAATGGTTCGGGCTGGAAAGGACCTTAGAGCCCACCCAGTGCCCCCCCCTGCCATGGGCAGGGACACCTCCCACCAGCCCAGGTTGCTCAAAGCCTCATCCAGCCTGGCCTTGAACCCCTCCAGGGATGGGGCATCCACAGCTGCTCTGGGCAACCTGGGCCAGCACCTCACCCCCCTCACGGCACTTGGTCCCATGAAGCTTGGCCAGGCTCTGGGAGGCTGCTGGTGGAGCCTGGCCCCGCAGCCAAGGGCTCTGCTGGAGGAAACTGTCTTTTAGGAGTGACAAAGCCCAGACCCAGCAGCTCTTGGCCTGACCTGGACTATCCAGGCTTAAATGGGAACTGTAATAACAGCCCCGCAGCCCCCAGCTGGCTGCCAGCTTCGGGGGAGAGCTTTACAGCTGGCTTTAGCTGGCCACAGGGTCACTGTGCAGGCACGGACAGAGGAAACCCAGTCGGTCCTGTGTGTCATTAGCGGTCAGATTAGCCAAGTCTAATTCTGCCTTTCTGCACTGCTATAAATTGAAAGCACTGTGCTGAAATCTGCAGAGTGGCATCTGTCATATGCATAGATGTAGACACCAAAAGCAGAGAGAAAACACCGAAGTTCCTGATCTCTATGCAAAATAACGTCTTGGGCACGCTGCTCTTCTGCACTTTAGGGCATCTTAGCTCTTCCTCGGAGAAGCTGTGGGTTTTGGTGAGGGTTGGTTTTAGCTTGGGGGGTCCCAAAGGCTGACACCTGGGGGTGGGCAGTGCCGTTCTTACCGGCCTGGGGAGCTGGCTGGGAGTAAGGAGTGTTCCAGGTGCAGGCTGGCATGCATTTATAACAATTTTTAATTATATTACAGCTTGACACTCTGTCCATACACAGCACTGGTCCCAGTGTTTGCCCAGGATCTGGGGCGATGGGCTCAGATGGTGCTTCTGTTGTCCCTGGGTGCCCTGGGATGCTCCCTGTGTTGTCTGAGCCCTGCTGCATGCCTGAGACATCTTTCCCAGCGCTTTTCTCAAGCTGCAAGCGTTGCTTTCTCCTCAGTTTAGCGTTTCCTTGCTCTTCCACCTCGCTGCACTGTTCCTATACCCTCACTTCAGCCTGGTCTGTTTGCTGACCCTTCCGAGCCCATACAGCTGAACTGGGATTCTCGAGTTTCCTTTCACAGGACAAGAGCTCAAACAAACCCACCTGAGTCACCTAGCTTAGCAGTCCTGCAGTTAAAATGCAATTCAATGTTTTATTTCAGCTGCCCCCCTTGGTGCTATGGGATGTCAGGCAGGAACACCGTAGGTCCTGCAGCCTGGTTAGGTGCGGGAAGAGTTGAGGATGTGCTGGGAGAGCACGATGTTCTGGTTTGCTGACTGTGCTGTGCTGCTTTGAGGGACGATGTCTTTGGAAGATGCTGTGAACGGCTTTGGGAAGCAGATATCCATCCTGTGTGCGGAACATCGCACGCTCACCCTCTGCTTCTCTCCTGCAGCGCTGCGAGACCTGCAAGCAGGCAGTGCCGGCGGACTGCCCGGTGGTGTACGCCGACCGCGCCGGCTACTCCC